AGAGCCAGCCAAGAAGAGTGAGGAAGCCCTGAAGAAAATCCTCGTCCAGTAAGGGGATGAAGAGCGCTTCTTCCTTCTCGGCTCGGGCTTGGCCGAGGAAGAAGAAAAAGAGCTAGAGGCAATGCCGACATGGCCCCTGGGAGTAGTTAGATTAGAGGTGCAGGCTGGCACCAAGAAGATAAAAACTGAGTTCACAATGATTGACACACCCTCCCCTTACAATGCTATTCTGGGAAGGCCATAGCTGCATGCAATGGGGGTTGTTCCTTCAACATTGCACCAGTTGTTGCGATTCCCAACAGAACAGGGAATTGAGAAAGGCAGAGAGGATCAAGTGCAGGCGAAGAATTGCTCCATGACAGCAATGAAATCCACCTACAACATACGAGAAGTAGAAGCAGCAGAGATCGAGGATGAGAACATAGAAGTCCTGGAGGACGTCGGCAAAGAGCCAGCCAAGAAGAGTGAGGAAGCCCTAAAGAAAATCCTCGTCCAGTAAGGGGATGAAGAGCGCTTCTTCCTTCTCGGCTCGGGCTTGGCCGAGGAAGAAGAAAAAGAGCTAGAGGCATTCTTGAGAGCAAACATTAAGGTGTTTGCCTAGACGCCGTACGAGATGCCTGGCATTGACCCTGAAATCATTTGCCATAGGTTGAATGTGGACAGGTCGACCAAACCTGTCATCCAGCGAGTAAGGAGGCCTATGTTGATGCATGTCGAGGCAGTAGAAAAGGAAGTGGATAAACTTCTGGAGGCCACGGCCATTCAAGAGGTGAACTACCCAACATGGCTATCAAACACGGTCGTCGTGAAGAAAAAGAATGGAAAGTGGAGGGTCTGTGTGGACTTCGCCAACCTAAACAAGGCTTGTCCCAAAGACAGCTTCCCACTCATCAAAATTGACCAATTGGTGGATGCCACCTCAGGACATGGAAGGATAAGCTTCCTAGATACTTACAGGGGGTACCATCAGATAGCTATGTACCCCCCAGATGAGGAGAAGACTGCATTTATCATCCCAAGAGGGTTGTATTACTACAAAGTGATACCTTTCGGGTTGAAAAATGCAGGAACAATGTACCAGAGACTGGTGACCAAGATGTTCAGGCATCTAATAGGCAGAACAGTGGAGGTATACATAGATGGCATGGTCAGGAAGACCAAGGAACCTGAGGATTATCTAGAAGACTTAAAGGTAGTTTTTGACATCCTTAGAACATATCGGCTCCAACTCAATGTATCAAAGTGCGCATTTGGAGTTGGGTCTGGTAAGTTCTTAGGATATTTAGTTACCAGAAGGGGCATTGAGGCTAACCCCGATCAAATCAAGGCCATTCTGGAGTTTGAGAGCCTAACATCGGCAAAGCAAGTGCAGATGTTGACTGGAAGTTCTGCTGCCCTGAATAGATTCATAAGCAAAAGCTCTGACAAATGTAAGCCTTTCTTCAACTTAGTGAAGAAAGTCACAAACTTCTTATGGACAGAAGAGTGCGAAATCACCTTGGCCGACTTGAAAAAGTATTTGACCATAACTCCAGTTCTCTCAAATCCAGTACCTAGAGAGGAGCTGTTCTTATACCTAGCAGTTTCAGAGCATTCAGTAAGTGCAGTAGTAATCAGAGAAAAAAAGGGAGAGCAAATGGCAGTTTACTACATGAGTAAAACCCTAGCTGATGTAGAGACCAGATACCTATCCTTGGAAAAACTAACACTGGCTTTAGTAATGGCGTCCAAAAAGCTAAATCATTACTTTCAAGCCCACAAATTGTGGTGTTAACTGAGCATCCTCTGAAGTCCCTGTTGCAGCAAGGAGATCTGACAGGCAGGATAACCAAACAGGTAGTGGTGTTGGGCCAATATGACCTGGAATTCAGACCCAGAACAGCAATCAAAGGCCAAGTTCTAGCTGACTTCGTAGCCGAGTTCACACCAGGTGCCACCATACATCGGGCTCCGTTGAACCGAGGTATGCAATGTCCAGGTGAACAAGGAGAAACCCAGTTGGGGATAGCCAAATAGAGTAAAGAAGAGAAACTCAGACCATGCAGTAATTACATCGGCGACTCCTTCCGGCTGTTTGTTGATGGGAGTTCAAACCGACAAGGAGCGGGGGCAGGAGTAGTGCTTGTATCGCCAGATGGGAAGATACTGGAACAATCCATTCGTTTGGGGTTTAAAGCCTCAAACAATGAAGCAGAGTATGAAGCACTAATAGCAAGATTAAAGTTAGTAGCAGCAATGGAAGCCGACGAGGTGATGGTCTTCTGTGACTCCCAGCTTATCGTCAACCAGGCAACAGGCGAGTGCGTTGCCCGAGATGAGAGGATGGTGGCCTATGTAAAGAAGGTGGACAGACTGATGGTATTGTTCCAAAATTGCCGACTACAGCAAGTCGGCTGAGATGACAACAGCCATGCTGATGCCTTGGCCAACCTAGCTAGTGCAATGAAACCAAGAGAGGCAAGGACAATAATAATTGAATACTTGTCAGGTCCGAGTGTAGAACCACTGAACACAGAGCATGAAGCAATGTGTATGGATATGGGACCAAGCTGGATGGATGCAGTAATAGTATTCCTTAAAAAGAAAAAACTATCAGATGATCATAAAGAAGCACACAAGATCAAACTGAAGTCGACGAGATTCAGTCTGACAACAGAATGGCATCTCTACAGAAGATCTTTTACTGGACCCCTTTTGAGGTGTGTGCATCCCTCTCAAGTTGAAGACTTCTTGTATGAGATACGTGAAAGAGTATGTGGAAGCCACACTGGGGGCATGTCACTTGCTCATATGGTCATTACTCAGGGGTACTGGTGGCCCTACATGCAAAAAGATGCTGAAGCTTATGTCAAGAAGTGTGAAAAGTGCTAGAGGTTTGCACCTTTGATACATCAACCAGTAGCGGACTTGAACCCAGTGTCCAACCCTTGGCCATGTGTCCAATGGGGCATGGATCTTGTTGGACAACTGTCTCAAGCAACTGGACAAAGGAACTACCTACTAGTGGCAACAGATTACTTCACCAAGTGGGTGAAAGTCGAACGCCTCGCAAAGATTCGAGATGTTGATGTGAAGAATTTCATATGGAAAAACATCAGCACCAAGTTTGAGATCCCAAGGGCAATAATAACAGACAATGGTACATAGTTTGACAGTAAGCTAATCAAGAGCTTCTTTGTAAAGTACAAAATCAAGAATTATTACTCTACTCCAAGCTTCCCTCAAAGCAATGGTCAAGCAAAAGCATCTAATAAAGTCATCTTGGATGGGATCAAGAAAAAGCTAGAAGCAGCTAAGGGAAAGTGGGTAGATGAGTTACCCAGTGTACTCTGGGCATAACGGACTACGCCGAGAAGATAAACTGGGAAATCCCCATTTGCCATGGCTTTTGGCACAGAGGCAGTAATCCCATTAGAGGTCGGCATCCCAAGGATCAGAACCCAGGGAGTGGAGAATGGGACTAATGATGCATTTTTATCCCGAGATCTGGACCTTCTGGAAGAAAGAAGGGAGAAAGCAGCAATTCAGCTAAGGGCATACCAACAGCAGCTTGCCAGGGCTTATAATAAAAAGGTTAACCCATGAGAGTTCCAAGTTGGGGACCTCGTCCTAAGAAAGTTTGTCGGCAACAAGAAGGATCCCAGAGAGGACAAGCTTGGCCCAAATTAGGAGGGACCCTATAGAATCATCTTGGTCCTGGGCAATGGTGCATATCGGCTTGAAGACAGTGAAGGTAAAGAGTTGCCAAGACCCTGGAATACTTGCAATCTGAAGTTTTTCTATCACTAGATTTTTTATTTTTTAAGTTTCTTGTTATTAGCCGAAGTAATAATAAAGTCTTAACTTGATTTTTAAACTTGTGTAGTATGACTAACCAGTTACTTGGCGATGTTTCTGATTGAAACATGACGAATAACTTAGACTTATTATATAGCAGGGTTGAATTATACTTGCATATAATAGAGTTGAACTAAGTTGGCGATGTTTCTGATTGAAACATGACGAATAACTTAGACTTATTATATGGCAGAGTTGACTTATACTTGCATATAATAGAGTTGAACTAAGTTGGCGATGTTTCTGATTGAAACATGACGAATAACTTATACTTATTATATGGCAAAGTTTTTCGACTTACATATAATAGAGTTGAACTAAGTTGAATTAACCTGGACTTGCCATATCGGTAGAATCAGACACAGATTGAAACTAAGTACGTATCAGTTAGATTAACAAAGAGACCAAGGTTGGTAACCTCGGCCAGTCTTTGTTTGAATCTGACCTCGGCGACGAGGTCAAAACCACATGTTTAATGAGAACCCAAGTGGAACTTAAGTTCACATTGGGGGGAAAAGGGCTGGAAGAATGATGCTTGAGAGTTGGAATTTACAAGCTAAGGTTGGTTTAACACTTGTTGAAATTTTAAGAAAAATTTACAAGTTGAAGTTAAGCCGAAGTTATTTTAAAGGAATGATGATTTAACACTTGTTGAAATTTTAAGAAAAAATTGCAAGTTGAAGTTAAGCCAAGATTATGTTGAAAGAAGTATCTACGTACTTGCCGAGATTATCGTGTTGCCAAGACTTGGAAGATATTTGAAGATAAAAGTCTTGCTAAGTAAAAGTAAAGTGGCAGCTTTTATATAGCACTTGTGAAAATATTTTTACAAATGTTTTCAAGTATTAAGCCATGGCCGAGATAAACAGTCAACAGTTATACCCGAAGTATTTTCCCCCAGGAAATTACACAGTTAAGATGTACTTTGAAGACATGCAAAATATTCTAAGTATGAAATCATTCAAAACAATAAAAAAAAGACAAGCATTCAAACACTTAGTCAAAAAAAAAAGAAGACTTGCATTCAAAAGGGAATAAGGGCACTATGGCCTACAAAAAGACTACTTGTTTTGATTACAAAAGTGGCACGTCGGCCAACTATAAAAACTGAAAACATTGTTCAGAAAATTACTAAGTACAAAGGAAAATGTTTATAGTCAAGACTACTCGAAGTCGGCGAAGAACTGTGTCTTGGCCCTAGAAGACAGCTGGGAACACTTCTCGGCAACCTTCTCAGCCTCGAGCTCATCATCGATCTTTTGTAGAGTTTGATCGAGACTTTTCTCGGCGATTGGCACCTCGGGCGTCGACTTCTTTGGGGAGGCATCTTTTGAGGCCTCGTCCTCCTCTTCCTGAGTCAAGTTCATGACTTGCTCATTCAGAGTTGGGGACTTGGCCCCAGCATCCACAGCCTTTTCAGACTTATCGGCCTCAGCTTCCTCCTCGGGCTCAGCCTCGTCCTCGGATTGGCTCGGATTTTGGAGGAATGGCAGGACGATGCGGCTATTTTCTCGAAGAGGCAAGTCCTTAGGGACAGCCAACTCTTTTAAAGCAGTCATCCAACCAAGGGTGAAACCCTTGTTGCATGCCTGTTTTACTTGCTTCTTGTAGTCTTCTTTGACGTCGGCTGCCCCCTCGGTGTGCGCTTTCTCATCTGCCGCTTTTATCTCGGTGGCCTTTGTAGCTAAAGCAACGACGAGCTCAGCTTGGGCTTCGGCAGTTTTGTCCTCGGCCTCTTTTTTCTCAGCCTCAAAGACCTTAGCAATGGCTTCAGCAGCTCCTGCCCTTTCTTCGGCCTCATCTTAGGCTTGTTTTGCTGCCTTGGCCTGATCTATTAAAGTCTTTATCTTGGCCTCGGCCTTATTTATGGTCTTGAGCAAACCAGCAGCCTCCTTCATCTTGCAGGTCAACTCATTCTTAATTTCGAAGGCCTGCATCGCGAAGGAGTGGGCATGCTGGATTGCCTAGAAGAAGTGGACAGAACAAAAGTTAGTAAGAAACTCTAAGTATGGAAAAACAGAGAACTAAAAGTCCCAAGTGTCAGAGGCTTACTTGTACGAAGTGTTGCAACTGCAAAGCGAAATTTTCGTATTCGCTGACCTCGGCGTTACATTTGAGGTCTTTTGGCAGAAACAAGGTAATAGAGAGGGCAACGCCGACTTCGATGTCAGTCGCACTGTCGCCGACTCTGACTGGCTTGTCCTCAATGGTAATTGGAGGGCCCAAGGGGCATCGGACTTGAGAGACCCCGAGGTTGCAACAAACTTTGACCTCGGCTTCTTTGATCGGGTTGATTCAAAGGGGGCAGCCTTGGCAGGCCTTTTTTTGGCGACAAAGGCATTTTTTTTCGCCTCAGCTTTTTTGGAGATTGACAAGGTGTTCTCAGAGTCAATCTGAGTTACCGTCGCCTTAGGTTGGGCTTTTTTCAGTCTTTTTGGCTTTGGCTTTAGCTTGGGTTGAGACTGAGAAGATTGAACTGTGGTGACATTGGGGATGTCAACAAGAAGGTCTTCGGCGATGCCTTTTGTCGCCCCATTTCGTCGAAGGAGATGGCAACGGTAACTTTGGTACCAACGCGGATTGCTGGAAGAGCTGTTGGTGGGTTGGCTGGATCGTAAGAGGATGCCTCGACACTTCGGCATTTTCGACTTCAAGTCCTGCCTGCCGGGGCAAAAAGTGGAGCTCGACGTCAGCGTTGTCGTTGAGAGGATGGAATCAGTTGTGGAGCTGAAGTAGATGGCTGCTCTGCTGGATCAGAGGTTGACCCCTGATCTGGTCGAGGTGAAGAAGTTGTGGTAGGAGTTATAGTAGAATGAGGGGACTTGCTCTTTTTGGGGATGTCAGGCAAAGCCGATTTGTAGGTTGGGATGAAATTCAGGAGCACAGGAGCCTTGTGTTGATTAACAAGCAAGTCCAGCAACTTCTTGAAATCTTTACTGGGATAGTAGTTTTTGCGGAAGTCCTTCGGGGGGCTGAGGAAGAGCTGCAAAGACAAAACAAACAGAGGTTAAAGCATACAAAATATCTAAGTAAGAAAAACTTGAAAGCAAGTAAAAGTGACGCTGGGCTCTTACCATCTCTCTCTCTGAAAATTGTTCGGCTTAGGGGATAGAGGTGAACATCATCATCTGGTTGGAACTCCCAGTTGCTCGAGACGATGAAGTAATCGTCTCCAGTACCCTTGTTGGAGTCTGGGAGGTCGGCGACAAGTTTGTATTCCCTGGATCTCGACTTAAGGTAGTAGATATAGCCCTTTTCTAACTTCAGACCGCACAATGTGTAACAGTATTGGATGTCGGCAAGGGTAACCCTAACATTCTCTTTTTTGGCTAAGGCAATTATACCATTGATAACTCAGTAGGAGTTAATGGCAAGCTGCATTGGGTTCAGTTTGTAGTAGTGTAAGACTTCTCGGAAAAGGGTATCAAGAGGGAACCTAAGTCCACACTCTATGAAGGCAACCACTGGAAAAGGCATGAAGTCGTCTTTGGACATGATGAAGTCTTCCTCTCCTGCCAACCTAAGATGGACGTCGGCAAGAATGGCAAACTCCTGCCTAAAGTATTCTAACTTAGTTGGGGTGTTTACCCTCCACCTGAATATACCCATAACGTCAACTAAGTGGGGAGAGTGTTGATTGGAGAAGGAAAGTGGTTTGGTAAGGTTTAAAGGACCTCGGCAAAACCTAAATGCATGTTAGGGCAAGGGTTTTTTGGGAATCTAAGGGGAACTTCTTTCAATTTTTCCTAAAGTTTGGATGATTTAGAACAAGTCCCAAACCTAAGATTAAGGAAACAAGAATTGAAGGCAATAATCTGGAGAATACAGCAAGAAAACATAAACAAGAACATGTTTCAAACTCAAGAAGACGAGCAAGAATTCAAAGAAACACTATGACAAAGTGTGTACAAGGGTGCGAGGCCAAAAACAGTGGCAAAATGAACAAGTGTGTAAGTACATGTGTATGCCCAGAAACAGATGAAACAGAACATGTTTAAATATACGAAGGATGAAATTTGAAACACAAACAAAAACAGGAGCATATAAATGTATTCATCATAGCAAATAAGCAGAGGCAACAGAGTATGAAATTAAAGAGAGGGAAAATAATAACTCACCGAAGAAAATGAAACCAATGTAAAGTTTGCCGGGGTCAAACGATGACAACAATCGAAGGAGCGGCAAAAGCCTCGCCGGAGGAGGTGAACAGAGTGGTTGCAGAGCTTGAGAGCTTAAAACAATTGAGGATTTGGGAGTAGAAAGAGAGAGAACTTGCACGAAAACGGTGGAGAAAAAGTGAAAAGACGGAGAGAGAGAGAGAGAGATGATTTTGATCAAACAGGCAAAATGGCGGCAAAATGGCAATTAGTGTGCCTAGGACGGCGTGCTTGTCAGACGGCGCACGCAAATGCGATGCGACTTAATGGCGCGTGTCAGGTACGGCTCAGTAGGGGAAAGACATATGGCAAAAACGGTTGAAATACTGTGCGTGACAGCTCATACGCGTGTTGAAACTCTTAGAGTTCTTAATTTAATGGAGCAGGACCTCGGCTATGGGGACGATCTCGGCTGAGAAACTTAAACAAACTTGGTTATTGGTTCTGAAGCATTGATGAAAACAGACCAAGTCTTGGTCGTATTGAGCTGATGAATGATGACCTCGGTAATGAAGGACAAAGCGAGCTTAGCCGATGTTCTAAATGGGAGAAACGGTATAGGTTCCATCACCTCAAGATGCCGAGGTAATATAACCTAGGGGGCAGTTGTGGAGACATAATTTTTGAATGACAACACATGACCGAAGTGGCGCCGAAGTACCAGCCGAGGTGCCACATGTTCTGGTCATGACACCAAGATAATCTCGAATAGGCCGAGGTTATCTACGAGGATACCGGAATCCAGGATAAGCGGATAAGGGATAAGAGTACTAGAATGAGAGAGGATTTCAGTTTGGATAAAGATAAGACTCTTAGAGAGTTTATCTCAATCTAACTGGGAGTCCAGGATTAGTATTGAGGCAGAGTCCATTAAAGCTAGGCTTCTATTGGGATTAGGTCAGTGTTGGCTATAACAAAGAGGCACCCTTATGGGTCTAAGGTACGCTTTTTGGATTCTGAATAATGAGTTAAACGCTTTTGCTATCTTTAAGAGATAACTGACTTGATCGTCGGAGTGCCCCCGGGTGGACAAACCACCGTCGGAATCTTATCTTTCTGTGACAGGTTGTTCGAGCTTAATCTATTATGCCGGTGCTCTCCAACTGAGTTCCCCGTTTGGTTGTGTGGTCGGAAATCAACACCCACAGATATAACATTTTGTCTTATTAACTTATTTAACTTATTTTAGCATGGGTTAAAAGCTAATTTTTTGAATTTTTTGTTTTTTTTAAGTTACATTACCTCTTTACTTTTTTACACGTTTAAAAAAAATTTAGTTTTTAACCTACTTTTCAATAAACTCATTTGTCTTTCTTGTGCTTTTTTAGTTGCAACTCACTTCCAACTAGCTATGTTTTTGGTTTTGACTTTTTGGCTAAAAAAACAAAAAAGGCTTTCGTTCGGGAAGTGGGTTGGTTTTTTAACTTTTTGACTTTTTTGACTATTTTAGCTTGGGCTAAAAAGCTTGGTTTGGGAAGGACTTTTTGACTTTTTTTACTTTTTTTGTGAGAGAAAAGTGTAATGATTATGGGTTGGATGTGATATTTTGTTTGTTGTATCTAAAATAGCTTATTTTGTCTTTTGTGGCTAAAATAGCTAAAAAAGTCCATAAACCAACTTGCCAAACAGAGGCAAAATTAGCTACATAAGCCAATAAGATAAAATGTAACATCCAAACCATAATCATTACATTTTTTTTTCTCATAAAAGTAAAAAAAATGAAAAACAAAAATCAAATGAGGCTAAAATAACCAAAAAACTAAAAAGTTAAGCTATTTTAACTCCTCTCAAATCAAAACTAAGTTGCCAAATAAATTATTTTAATTAATTATTTGATTTTTTATGAGACAAAATATGTAAAAAAATAAAAAAAAAATTAATGTGATAAGATATTTTGTTTTGTTAACTATTTATCTAATCCAAATCAACTGTAAAAATAAAAAATTATTAAAATTTATCTTAAATATAATTTTTTTAATTAAATTAAAAAAATCATGCTAAAGTCTCGTTTGGTAATGATTTTTTTAGTCAAAAAAGTCATTAAAAAGTAAAAAAGCCAATAACTCATATAAAAAATTCAAAAATTCTTTTTTCTCTCTATTTTTTGCACATCTTTTTGTAAAAAGTCAAAAAATCATCACAAATATATTAATTTTTTTTTAACTTATATGTTAGCCAAATAACCAAAAAAATAACTAAGGCCTCGTTTGGAAACAGGCTAATTTACTAACTATTTGACTAAAATATGAGCTAAAAAAAATTAGTATGTTTGATATGACTTTTTGACTTTTTATAAAAAGATGTAAAAAGTAGAGAAAAAAAGAGAATCTTTAATATTTTAGTATAAATTATTAATTTTTTAATTAATTTAATAACTTTTTAATTTTTTAATTAAAAAGAATGGTTTTCAAACGGGGCTAAATTAACCTGTTATCCAACAATGAGAGAAAATGGTGACTAAACATTTATCACACACTCACTCGCCTTTCAAACACAAAGACAAAGCCGACCCGTCCTAATGTTCCCGTGGGCTCACGACAATTGACTTTGCGCTTCGCAATGAATCGTTCACATACACGTGGTAATGAAATATATATATATATATATATATATTTTTTCAAAGATAGCATTAGCATATTAATGGGCCATTGTTCTCTCCAATCTGTAATCGGATTAAAATTTGTTGTTAAGCTCAGCTTATTACGAATCTTGTTTCGATAATTCAAATTGTTCAATGTTTAAAATTTTTCGAGTACTTTATCCTTATAAAAAATCACATTAGTCGGATATCAATAACTACTTGATCAGATCAGATTTCTATCAATGGTAAATATAATTTTTAAAATAAATTATTGACAAAAATCTGATCCATTCAAGTAGCTATCTATATCCGATCAACGTGATTTATATAAAGATAAAATACTCGATGAGTTCTACACATTGAACGGTTCGAATTATCAAAACAGAATCTATGGTAAATCCTACCGACCCAACAACACTATCCAATTCACAAAATAGACTGAAAACAAGCTTGACCCTATATTAATATATGGGGTGTTTAGAAAGTTAACTATTTTAATAGACTATTTTTTAATTCTGTCTATTTTAATAGCTTAAAATAATTGTTTTTGAAAAGAGAATTAAATTTTTTATAATTGAATGTGATATTTATAAAAGAAAAAATATAACAATTTTAAATTTGATATGATATTTTTTCTTATTAACTATTTTAATCCATTTCGTCTTTTATTACTATTTTATTTCTCAAAAGCCAAAAAAAAAACCTATTGCTAAATACTCCCATAGTTAGATTATAATTAAAAAATTTGTCATTATTTCATTAATTCAAATCATTTACCTCCTACTCATCGTAGCTTAAAATATGATTATTAAACCAATAAATCATACCCCACCATGCCATACATGGGTACGAAATAGTCATATCTCAAACAAAAATGCTACACAGTTGTCCTCCGTTAAAATGCCATACGTGTACAAAATAGTCACATCTCAAACAAAAATGTTATACTTGTCCTACGTTAAAATGTAGGGTAAATTATTAATAGATTATAGGAAAATGATTTGGAGTCCTAAAAATATCCCTTAATCTCTCTAATTTTCAATTTGGGTAACTTTTTTCTTTTTTTTTTTTTACTTGATATGGAAATTAGGGGGATTAGGGGGGGTATTTTTAGGGGATGTAGCAAGACCCTAGATTTTAATAATTAGATTTAATTTTCATTAAGATTTATTGAAAATAAGTCTTAGTAAAATTATCATTAAAAATAATTTTTTTGTAATAATTTTTTATATATGTAACTAAAAATTGATAATTAGTGACTTTTTTTATTATGATTTTTGTAAATTATTGTTAGAACTTATAATTAATGAAATTTTTTTATGACAAATTTTTTTCATAATATCTATTAAACAATAAATTCACTTATTAGAACCTACACATAAGTATCCCTAAAATGTAGTCACATCTCTATCCATTTTTATTTTGAAAAATGCCTAAGACCCCCAGTGGGGGTCGTGCGTGTAGACCCGTGATTGGCTCCAAAAAAATTATTATTATTATTATTTTTTAGCGAATGGCAGCACGCCACGTCACTGGGGTCTAAAGCAGTGCTGTTTTATTTTTGACTAATTCTATGAATCCAAATGAAAAGAATCCGAAATTAATCAAAGGTTGAAATTCATTCGGTATAGCCCCATACATATAATTTTAATTTTACACTATAAATTTAACATTTTGAGAATTTTTTGGATTTGGTTTTCATTGTTCATAAACTTTTTCTTTTTGACTATATTTTAGTTTTCAATAATAATAACTATGTTTGAGTATCATATATTTTTATTTTTACTTTTAAATATCATGTCATATGTAGTGGTATATGATATTAACCATATTGCTTTTTTGAGCTTCATAAAATATTCAGTGTGTTTTGTTTGAGTTTTTTAAATTAAATTTTTTAAAAATTGAGTTTTTTGATTTTCATATTTTTTTATTTTTAGTGAATATTTTTAAAATTTAAAACATTTTTTTTATTTTTTAGATTCACCTTACTTAGATGTATCTAAAAAGTAAAAAATTTGTGAAAAAATATTTTAAAGAATTAATAAATACATAAAAATACAAAAAATGTACTAAATTCTCGTATTTTTTTTTATATTTTTGGTATTTAGTGAATTTTTAAAATATTTTTTTCACAAATTTTTTACTTTCTAGGTATATTTATGTTAGGTATATCTAAAAAGTAAAAAAAATTGCTTAAAATATTAAAAAAATTCAGTAAAAATAAAAAAAATACGAAAAACAAGAAAGTAGAATTTTTTGAAAAGTATTTTTTGAAAACAGGAACCAAGCAAAGTGATTAGTATTGTGAGGACATAATTTTTGAATGACAACACGTGGCCGACGTGTCACCAAAGTGCCAGTCGAGGTGCCACGTGTCATGGTCATGATACCGAGATGATCTCGGCTAAGCCGAAGTTATCTGTGAATATGTCAGAATCCGAGATAAGCGGATAAGGACAAGAGTCCTAGAATGAGAGAAGATTTCAATTTGGGTAAAGATGAAACTCTTAGAGAGTTTATCCTAATCCTACTGGAAGTCCAAGATTAATAGTAATCCTAAGTCCATTAGAGTTAGGCTTCTATTGAGACTAGGATTGAGTTTGCTATAAAAGAGAGGCACCCCATGGGTTTAAGGTATGCTTTTGATATTCTGTTTAGCTACCACCATCCACTACACCTACTACACCACTACCACCATCCACTACACCTACTACACCACTACCACCATCCACTACACCTACTACACCACTACCACCATCCACTACACCTACATCTATATAAGGAACCATTTGTAATCAACAGAATATTAATCAATATTATATCAATCAATACATTTATTCTCTCTGTATTTTTCTCTTTATACATTGATTATTTTTACAAAAATTCATATTTCTTAATTTATTTCTTTTATTTTTCTATGGTGAATAGTGTTCACAAGGTACCTTAGAGCATTTCATGCGTATGTAGGCGTTCAATGCATGGTTTTGTGGTAAACTTGAATTATCAATTGTGCTTACTAGGTGAATGTCCAAGTACTCATATACGCATATCCCATACCCTTCACCCAAGTTTTGAGTGTCTGACATGGGGATTTCATACATCTAGAAGAATCTAAGTAAAATAGGTTTACTCCTGTGCTAGGTTTTCTTCATACTTATCAAATGTTGTATCTTTGTCCATTTACTACCCTTAAGAAAAAAAATTAAGGTTATTACTTACAAAGGATACATTAGATTTCTCCCCGTTCAAATATTTTCTTGATTCAAGTTTTGTTGAATTTTGCAATTTGCATCGTCATATTTCCTGCTCTCTAGTCACTTATTCTGGACTATCAACTCTTCATTTAAACTTAATCGCAGTTAAGATTTTACCTTTTGCAAACTTTGTATATTGAGCAATTTTTTTTCTTGTGTTTCTCCAACTGTAGTTTCAAATTTTATGATCTTCCTGTCCAAATTATTGAATGGTGTAAACTCCATGAATTTCATTTGTATGACTAATTAAACAGACAATGACGAACACCTGTATGGAACAATTTGTTTTTTATATGATTATACTTGAATTGGCAAGTGGTAAACTTGTATTTCCATGGATATTCATCTCATTGCATCTTTTTGATGCCACAGAACTGGTGTCTGTGAGAAGGTTAATGTGAAAATTTGGAGGAAGTAAAGCAATATAATTGAGTTTTTAGTGATATTCACAAGCTATGACGTCACATTTAAACCTTTGCTTGCAGGTTATTTTGTTCCTGACATTGTAGTAGCAGCACTTACTGGAGTTGTAACTGGTTGGTGTGTGGGACCTCTTATACCTGTTCTTGGCCATTGGTTAGCCAGATCAGCTATCCTGCAATTCTTGCTGCAACTTACAGTGATTGCCATGGCACTCTCATCACGATTCTTTCCATATAGCATTGACGCACCTAAAAGAGTTGTTTTCCAGCATACAGTTTTAACTACAGGTATTGAAGAAAAGTTCAAATGCTTCGAGTGTTATATTCGTTCTGTATACTATCATTGCAAGCCCAGTCTGAGTTACTCTGGATCAATTTTTTTCCCAGTTCCGGCTTTCAAAGTTGTGAGCTCTTCTTTGATAAGGAACAATCTTGAATCCAAAATCTTGTTTTGATTACAAAAATTGTTGGTCCTGTTTGAAACGTTTATCTCATTTTGCTGCAGTCTAATTGCAAAAAATCTTTATTGTGTATCTTATTGGCTAGCCTTTCTAAAGCATTGACTAATGAACAACAATGTGATATCTCTTCTAAATGCAACCCTTTTTTGGGGTAAAAGTTAACTGCAACTTTAGTGTTGATTTATTGGAAATATTTAGTTGCTATTTTCATGTGTGTATATATATATTTTTTAAGATCTTAATTTTTAGAATTTGAACATGCTCTTATGTGCATTACTCTTGTATCTTCTGACTAGTGTTTTACTTCTGGGATTGACAGATGCAAGTCACATTGTGGACACCAATTATGAGTTTTCTGTTGTTGACTCCAATTCTCTACTTTTTGTCTTCAAACATGCGCCTGAAGTGGCAAAAGAATTGCAAATTGGTTCGGTGCTATCTTTCGAAACAGCCAATTTTTCTCACCAAGAAAATTGGATGGTATGTGAATTAAGCCAACACAATGTCAAATCATGAATTGAAACGATATTTGAATGATTTATGCCTTAATAAGGAATTATAATTAATGTGATGTGTTTTAAAAAAACACTGAATGTCTTTTCTATTGTACTAGATTTAATTTTTCACTCACCATTGATAGGTTGGTTTGTACTTGGAAGTGACTATTACATTCATTCTTTATTGCTTTTAATTTCATTTGCATCGTTGGTTGAAATTTGAAGTGGTGATCTGTTTCTTATGCAGGCAATCTATCCAGTATCTTTCTTGTTCTCAAGAAGCTTGAAATTTTCTGCAAAAAGCGATGAGGTCTTGAAGGAATATAGATATTTCCCCCATCTATCAAGCTATAAGCCACAAACGATTTCTGGTAGTGGATCTCGGAAGGTCTACTTGGAATTATCATTAGGGTGAGTTGAAAGTGATGCACATTGCTATTACTAGACTGATTGAGATCTTTCTTCCTTATTTACACTTTCAGTTTTGAGCAGTGGATGTGTAAATATTCTAAATATGCATGTGTAAAACCAGGGGCGGAGCCACAGCTATGACAGTGGTGTCAGTTGACACCACTGAGTTGAGAAATGCTTTTGAATTATATGTAGATTTTGTCTAAAACTTTTGGAGATTTTACAAGCTGACCAGTAGAATAAGAAAACATTCAAAAAAAAAACTTTATGAGCTTCACAAATTGGCCCCAATGGAATGGGAAAATATGTATAAAGAAATAAAAGTATTGTTTAGGTCATTAAAATGAAAGTAGAATGGAATGAAATAGAACGGTTATTTCTTAACCTCCCTATAAAATAATCATTTTTTTATAATGGTGAATGATGACACTATTTGCAATTCATTTTCATCATCTTTCTAGTGGACTAAACGTGACAGAACATTCTAATGAAATGATTATTTTAATTCCATTTTTATTCTAATGAACCAAACATTGAAAATGACTCACCAAGATTGTAGCAACCAGCATACAATGTTGTCTCCTCCTCGCAATTTTCATTCCTTTATGCCAAGTCTTCTTGTCACCGTCTTTAAAATAAATATAAAAAACAAAACAAAACAAAACAAAAACATAAACAAAAAGAAAAACTTGTCAATGGTCTATGCCTGGAAGATTTGCAAGTTAACCTGATTCAAGCATTTCGAGAAGTTTCATTTAGCAAAAAGTGTTTGCTTGATTTTTGTGAAAACAATAATAAGAGTTTTTTTTTTTTTTTAAATTATTTTTGTTGATGTGATTGACAATATATATAAATAATGTATTATGTGAAAGTTGATTTTTAATAAATTATGTGAACTTAAAAAAATTTACATAATTACACTGATGATGACTTGTTGAATGACCCACCTAGATGAAATTTTTGGCTACGCCACTATGTAAAACATCATTGTAGTTGAATTGTAGGTAAACCTAAATATTGTTTCTTTCTTGTGTAAATGACCAAGTGTGGGTGAGAGAGATTAGAGACGATCGGTTGTTGACCTCTGGGGAGATGGCAGACACTTTAATGGCCTGAGATCATAGGAGGTGGAAGAGAAGAGCAATGTAGGCTTTAGAGAGGAAAGGGGTGGCGGCGAGAGACCTTGAACACTTTGTATATGTTGTATGATTCTTGTTGCTCTTGTTATATGATTGTGGCTGCACTTATGATGCCGTTATATAGACTCCAGGAGTATTGGAGCCCAAGGAACCTTAAGACAGGTGGCAAGTTCTCCTCAACTCGACAGGAGGGTGATATCAACCCTACTAGTTGTGTCCTATGATTTAGGTCCTTGGGAATGTTGCATTATAGGAGCTGCAGGTGTAGGTATGATATCTTGAGAAGTGTATCATATATGCAACATGTGTAAGTATAAGGTCAACGTCTCTTTCTCTAAGCCAGGTCAAGGGGGAGCTGTCACTGTAGGGAGATAGCTACATGACCTTGACGATCTCTAGGTCTTAGCCTCTAATCCACAATCCTCTAATGATCCCAAGCAGGAGTGTCTGGGTCCTGCTCCCAACCTAGGCAGCCAAGGGGGTGAGTGCATGGGTGAGCCAATGGATCATCCTGAGCAACTAAGTAAACATAAGTGAGCTAATGGTTCAACTATGTTGCTATGGAGCTAGGGTGAGTGGGTAGAGCATATATTTCTTGAGTTATGAAGAGTCATGGAGAGCTCTAGGTGAGCCATTTCTATCAAGGTGAGTTGTGGTCCTGTTTTCATACTTGGTGGTGTGCATTTGCCGCTTAGGCTAGGCATACGACCCCAACTCATCGTGGTGTCTCAGGGTCTACCACATGGATGTGTGATGGTGATGACGTGACGACCATAGGACTCACCACGTGCCAAGCATAAAATAGATACCCACACCAAGTTAATAGTGAACAGGTTAAATGTCAAATTTACACATTTGTTTGATTTGACATATTATTTTTTGACATAGAAAACATAGTGTGAGGTTCTATATGATGTACTCTCACATCAAAACATGAGGTTTTATACATTTCTGTATTTTTCCCTGTTTCAGTTCTTTAAAGGAGGTTTGGGTTGCTGTCCTTAACATTACTGGTCCTCTATCTAATTGGTCACTTGCAAACAATGTTCTTCCAGGTGACAAATATAGTGTTGGTTCTTTCCCATCATGTTATGAGCTTTAAGTACTTGTATCCATACATAATTTATGCTTTTGAATATATATATTTTTTTACAGCTCCTGAAAGATTGAATGGTGGTCCACCTTCATATATGTGTAGACTCAGTGGAGCAAGCAATGATAACTGGACCTTCTGGTTGGAGGTAAAGCTCTAACCTCTTTTGATGTTTCTTTTTTTGTCTGTATTTCTACTGCCTCCTTTTCTCTTTTTCATTTTGTCAGCATTCTTCATAACAAAATGTGAGTTGGGATCGCTCTAATTCATGCGATTGATTTTTCTGACATATGCTTAATTAATGCTGCATCAGTTTATTGAGTATGTTTATTAATTGATATGTTAATAATATATGTTGTTTAAGAGGCCTGGCAATTGCAAATTATTGTTAGAATTCCACATCTCTAGATTGATATCATTGCCTTCGTAATTTTTATTCTTCCAATTTCATCATGACCATTAATTCCAACATACAAATCACAACTTTCTCGGATTTCCCTGTTTTGATTGCTTCCCAGTACAATAAAATAAATTGTATATAAAAAATAATGATCCAATGCCCAAAATTCCCACTAAAACGGGATCTAGGAAGGGGAAGATGTACACAGCTTTACCCTAGTACTGGAGGTTTCCGCTGCTCAAACCTACCCCACCACCAGGAATGCTAAATTAAAATGGATATAAACTAAAATTACAAATATATATATACACACCAAATTCATCTTCCTTCCATCACTAGATTGTATCAGTTTTCAAATCAGCGATAAAAGCTATGGTTCAAACCTATATTCAATATCTTTCTTTGGGTTTTTCTCCTCATTTATGCCCCATTTTTTGTGGAAATTGTAGGCAAACAGTACTGAAGCTTTAAGGATTGAAGTTGCCGTATTAGACCAACACTTGCTGGAATCAACCAAGAAGTTGAGAGGCCTTTTCCCGGACTGGGTGGATGTCACTGCTTATTCAAGTTTCATGTCTAGTTACGTCTTCTAGTCCCCTTCGATTATTCTCTGTTTGTAAAGACAAAAAATTTTGAGCTGCCCTTTTTTTGCTCTGAAAGTGGTTTTGTATCCAATGATTTATAGTGTAATCAAAGCAAATGTAGGGATTTTTTGTTTTTTGTTTTTTTTTTTTTTAAATGTCATTTCTTGATACATTTTTGGGCTGCAACCGAACAACGGGATGGAGCTACAGAAGAATGATAGATTATTTTTGTCTTATACTATCATTTTGAACAGATGATTTCTTGGTATTATTGGTCTTGTTACGTATGCCTGAAAGGCTGACTGGTGAAATTAGCAGTTGATTTTTGGCTTTAAACTTATTTTGGGTCATATTATTTATCTATTTTTTTACATTTTTTTTTAAAAGACGTCAAAAAAATTAAAAAGACAAATTTTAACTAACTTTTCAGAACAACCAATAATCAGGAAAGTGAATGTTTGGTTTGGACTTCTTGTTTTTGGGTAATACAAAAGGATAAAGTGATAATTTCTGAGATTCTTTTATTTTATTTTTTTATTTTGGGTGAGGAGATGAAGGGATTTACTGTCGGCATGAGAAGTGAAAAAGTTAGATTTAATTTGTGTGTTTAGTGTTTTGTTAATTTAAAGAGTGAAAAAGGTTTCCTTTGGCCTGCAATACTTTTAGGCCATGTTTGATTGGAAGGATTAGAGTATGGGATTAGAATTATTAATCCGTGGGTCCAATTATCCTATGTTTGTTTTGACATTTTTTTTAGGATTATTAATCCAATGGATAGTTAATCCAACAAATTTATAGGATTATTAGTAATGAGATAGGGGTGGGATTGTGAATACCACACTAATTTGATTGGATTATTAATACCTCACTATTAATCTTGTGGAATCAAACATGATCTTATTGTTCTTTCATTATTTGTTGAATTAGGATGATAATTAATGAGGTTGTATTATTATGATTGGCCCTAGATTCATATGAAATATAGTGATGAATAATAAAGAATCTTGTTATCGAGAGACTTTGATGACCCCCGTCAGGGCTTAAAAGTCCCTTGCCTCTAAACAAATGTAATTAGAACTGTCTTTTTGGCCAATCTAATGATGTTGATTTCCTCTTGATTTTTACTAGAATAACTAATTGACAGGAACATTATTTTATTTATTTTGTCTAATTTGTTTGTTCATTGTGAATTTCAATTTTTTAGTGAAAAATATTTTTTTGATTTTTCATGGAAAATATATTTTCAAAAAACTTTTATTTATGTTTTGTGGTGGTGGGACAGAGGTAGAAGTGATAGTGGCGGCGGCGGTTGTTATGGTAACGGAGATATAGTGGCGGTGGCGGTGGTGATGGTGGTGGAGGTGATAGTGGCGGCGGCGATATTGTGGTGACATTGATAAAATTTTAGTCTGTGACATTGATAAAGCTGGTAAAATTCTAGTCTGTGATATCGCCCTCACTATCGCACACTCTCACTTCACTCCGTTTCAAATCGCTCTGAAAAAAACTGGTAAGTTTCTTCTTCGATTGCGTCTCAGTCTCTACATTTCTTCAATTTTCAGATTTTCTTCTTCCTTTTTGTTATCCCGATTATTAGTTTGAATGAAAAAAGAAATCAGTTTGTGTTATTTTTATAATAATTTATGGGTTTTAAACTGCGAAATGTATTTCAATCACTACCATTTGGTTCTTTCTTTCTTCTAGGGTTTGTTTGGGCTTTGAATCGCCAAATACATTGCTATTGTTTAGCTATATTTGGGGGAAACTTAAATGTTCCTCACATTTACAGTTTTGTTTTCTCTTTGCATGGTAAATAAGATTAGCCTTAAGAAAAATAAGATTATTTTTTTTTAATTTATAAATTTTAGTGAAGCATTGTGTTTATTTAAGCTCTATTTATCATGGAACCTAAAGATTTCTTTATTTTGGGTTACTAATAAATTATTGAGCCAGTCTTGCGGCCATCATATAGCGATCATGATTTCTGCTCTGTAATTGAAACTTATTGGTTTGTACATTAGGGAAAAAAATAACCAAACAATAATTTTTTATTTTTATTTTTTTTAAAAAAGGAAGAAAAGAAAGAAATAGTCAAAACAGTCAATTATGTTATCACTCTGAGAAAAATTTAGTTGGTAACTTTAATAATCCCAGTTTATTGTTAGTCTCGCTACATAGAGACTGGTTTTTAAGTTTTGTAATAATTGGAAAATCTGTAGCTAGCAGTAATCGTTTTATCTGGATATTTGAAGCCTTTCCGCATCATGGTTTTCTTGTTTTGTCAGGTTTTGATGGCTTGAATTATTCTCTGAGTGCTTCTCTTGGTGGTTCATTGGCAACTCAGGTACATATATATATATATATTTAAAGTTTTATAGCTTATTTATTGGAGCTTGAGGTTGGGAGTAAATTTCATGCATGGGGGATGCTGGGTGGGGTTCTATTCGCAATATTTTGTAATTAATAATTGGTAATTATATTGTTCATCCATGTTTTTATTAAAGAAAAGGGGACTAAATTTTGTTTGGTTAACACAAATGTTGTAACTTGCATTTTGGTAGTTTAGATGATTTGTAAAGGTCTATACATGCCAAAGTGGAAGTGCTAAACATGGGTACTTCAGAGAGAGGGCTGCCAGGGAGTGGACTTAGTGAAGATGGTGATGGGGTATTTTTTCTTCCATACAGAAAAATGAGGGCATTTTTGTTTTTAACACAAAAATGAGGGTATTTTTGCCTATTATGCATGGATTTCAATCGTGTTCATGTCTGTATATATAAAATAAGGGCAACCTAAGCAATCCATTTACAATCAACTTGCGAAAGGGAGAATCATGAATAGAAAATTGAACTAGATGGGAGGTCAGTGTCATTTAAAAAATGGTAGGTGAGGTTTCTAGAATTACCATAAACGTCAAGAGAGGTCAATGTAATTTATCTTCAACTTCTAATGGCAATTGACAGAAATATTTGCTTTATTTTCTTTCTCCTTCCTTCAAGACGTGTAGTACCTTGACAAAGTCATTACTGCAATTAAAATTTGCTCATCTATTTTTCATATTTGGATTAAGTATGATATTTTTTGCATGGTTTGTAATGCATTTTAATTTTGATGGCATTATGTGATGCATTTTTATTTATTTATTTATTTTTTGATGTTTCTGTCCTAGGAAATCTGTTTTTGTTTTGTTTTTTTTTTGTCTCAATGCATCTTATGTAGTTTTCTCCCATTATTACCTTTCTCACAAAATCTAGGGAAATGTAGGTGCATTGGAATATTTGGAATTCTGTTTTATAAAATATTGACTTGGAGAGAAGCAATGGCACCAAATCCAAGAGTTGCAAGAGCATTTCGTGCTATGAGGAGTATTGGCATCATTGAAGAAAAAGTGAAACCAGTCTTGAAAAATCTTTTAAAATTGTATGACAAAAACTGGGAACTTATTGAAGAAGAAAATTACAGAGCCCTCGCAGATGCTATATTTGACCAAGAGGAGACACAGGTGCGTCTCTCTCTCTCTCTCTCTCTCTCTCTCTCTCATGTGCGTGTTTTATCTTACCTGACAGCCTTCTTTTTTTGTTAGTCAGACTGTTTGGCTCCTTTATTTTTATTAGTTTATTCCATCTGTTTATTTTAAGTTTTTCGAACCAATTTCATTTAATTCATCTTTCAGGCGTCAGAGCAAAAGAAGAAACATGAAATCACTGATGTATGTGGCCTATCATCATATTTGTACTGATTCAAGATGCTGTTATCTCACTCCCTCATATGATATATTCACTTACTGGTTTTAATTATTGACTCTTTTTTTCCCTCCCCTTTTTTCTTTTTTTGTCTGAGACTAGAAAGAGGAAATGGATGAAGAAGCTCAGATGCATGAGGAGCCCGAACGTCCCCTAAAAAGGTTGCGCTTAAGGAACCAGAATGATCATGTTTCACCTTCTTTTGGATTGGGTGAAACTTCATCAAGAGGGCCACCCAAAGTGGAGGAGGCTGATCTGCCTGAGACTTGTCCCGAACAACGGTCACAGGATATGACACAGTCACCACAGCCACTTGTTAGAAACAAAGGAAAGCAACCTGTCTTGCCTAAGCCCGTGTCAATACAGGATAGTTTTGAGCCATCTCAGCCAGGTGCTGCTGACAGAACTGAGCCATTTGCTACAAGAACTGAATCTGATTTGGTCCCTCCTCCAGTACATCTCACGGGAAAAGGAAAGGAACCTCTCTTACCTCAAATTGCTCCAGGAATTTCTGTGAGGTCGCCTCATGCAGTGCGCTTGAAAGAACCAATGGGTGACACTGGCATTGTCCTTTCACCCAAGCCGCACGTACATGATTCTCGTGCTTTGATCAAGCCTAAAGATGAGCCATTCACTGATGACATACTGCAGTCAGAGGTTCCTAGTGCAGTGATTCATGGAGGTACATCTTATTTCCTGTGGTTGACCTGTGATAATTTTAAGTGCTTATTGATGACTGGCATCTTATAGCAAAATGATAACTTTCACAGTATCTCTGCTGGAGGACTAGTTAAAAATTGTGTTATTTGAATAATGCATAAAGTTATACCATGAATCTTATAGCTGGTCTGTACCCTTTCAAGCTTATTCAGTGGACTTGTCTCTGGGCTTTGTCACTTAAAAGTTGTTGGCCTTTGTTGGTTTATGTGATCTATAAAAGCTTTCTATTTAGTGACTTCTATGGTTGATTATTTTAAAATAGTAGGAATGAGTCTTACTTGAAGTTATCAAATATTTGTGTGAAATCTTTCATTTTTGAAGACATATCTATCCCAACAGAACCTTGTCCCAACATATTTTGATACGTTGCTAACATAGATAATTTATTAAAATTTATATTGTTTGATGGTGATATGTTGATGAATTTATTGATAATGTTGTTAGTGTGTTCATATCATTGAAGGTCAGTTATATCAATGTTGTTCAGTTATTGGATATAACAATTTATATGATCAGTAAATTTTCCTTCTCTCTCTCTCTCTCGGTGATTGACTTACAAATAGACAACTAGTATCTTTCAACTAATGATGGTCAGCTTTGTTTCTTCAAATTTTACAGAGCCATTAAGCATAGAAAATTCTTCAAGTGCAAATGGCTCAATTGGAGCATCTGATGGTCCTGAACATATTGTATCCCAATCTGTAGATGGGGAAGCTAGAAATGATAGTGTTCTAGCTTCATCAAATGAAAGGACAACTAATTGCAAGCTTGCAAACAATGTGGATGGGTCTTCTTCTAACTTAGATATTGCTTCCTCACACTATCGAGAGGTGAAAATTTCTTTGGCCTGTACTTTTACTCTTGGAAAAATCTGATTTCAAAATGGTGAACGATAAATGTCTTAGTCTTAGATCATATGAAGTCCTAGACCCAAGTTTTTATGTGATTAAACTAATGAAAGATATGCTTGAGTATTTTCAGGAACTGGGAACCAACTCTGCCAATAAATCACAGGAAACAATTATGCCAGCTGTTGATTTATTGAAACAATCTAATGCACTGGATGCTTTGGGTGCTAGAGTAAAGCCATTTGGTGCTTCTAATGGATCAGTCATTACCCCATGTGCTGTTGAAGTAGCAGAGTCTCAAATTCCAAGACTTCCATCATCATCAAACGGGACAGATGACTGCATACAAACTGATAAGAATACTATTGAGAACATCGGTGAAATTGATGAGGAAAAGGAACAGAATAGTCTTGAGCATGCAAATCCTCATAGTCTGTTGGCTCAGCAGCCTGATGATATAAAGTCTCTTCATGATGCTAATGACATAGCCAAAGGACAAGAAAGAGTTGTGATTTCATTGGTAAATGAAGTCAACAATGAGTGTCCACCATCCTTTCACCATATACCCAAAAATGCAGTTTTTCAGAATGCTTATGTCAATTTCTCTTTGGCTCGGATTGGGGAGAATTGTTGTTCGATTTGTCTTGGCGATTGTTTATCATCGTCAACACCTTGTGCTTGTGCAAATGAAACTGGTGGTGATTTTGCATACACCTTAGAAGGCCTGGTTAAAGATGAATTTTTAGAAGAGTGTATTTCGATGAATCGCGATCCCCAAAAGCACTGCCACTTTTATTGTAAGGAGTGCCCACTGGAAAGATCAAAAAATGATGATATTATAGAACCATGCAAAGGTCACTTAGTGAGGAAGTTCATAAAAGAGTGTTGGTGGAAATGTGGCTGCAGTAAGCAATGTGGTAATCAGGTGGTACAGCATGGTATAAGTTGCAATTTGCAGGTGAGAATATGAGCCAAAAATCTCAGGTTTATGTATTTATTAATTATTATTATTATTATTATTTTAAATTGGAGTTTTTTGGGAACTTTGAATTTTGAAAAAGAGTAGTAAACCTTACCAATTTTTAACACTTGAACCGTGATATCGATAAAGCATAAATCAAATTTCTAAAATAGTAAAACAGGCTATAAATGCACACTATGTGACTCTCCCAAGGCAAGCTCTTGAAGCAAAAAATCCAAGATTTCATTTTTTTATGAAGTTCTTTAGAAAAGGGTCTCTTAAAAAGTGAGGCTCAGCAATGTTTACATATTCTGTAAATAAACTTGCTTTCGATAAGATCTTCATGTTAGTTTACATGTAATTCTATGACTAGTTCGCTCTGTTTTGCTCCCCCTATCCCCATGTTTCAGGTGTTTATGACTCCTGGAGGAAAAGGATGGGGTCTTCGTACCCTAGAGGACCTCCCAAAAGGTGCATTTGTATGTGAATATGTTGGGGAAATATTAACCAATGCAGAGCTCTTTGAGCGAGTCTCAAAAAGCCCCAGCAGTGAGGAGCATGCATATCCTGTGCTGCTTGATGCTGATTGGGGTTCAGAAGGAGTCTTAAAGGATGAAGAGGCTCTTTGTTTAGACGCAACACATTATGGAAATGTTGCAAGGTTTATTAATCATAGGTAAGTTCAACAAAACACAGAAGCACATATGCCCTTGTGGCTTCCTCTTAATTATTACCGCGTTCTGATCCCTGTTGGTTGTTCCTGAGTCATTAACATTTTGGTTTTACTCTGAAATTATCATAACTGATGTGTATATGTATAATAAAGACGCTACCAGGATCTTTATTGATACAAGGTAGTTAGATTATGTTTCATGACTTGTAATTTTTAACTTCACTTTACAGTAGAAGAAAGGGAATCACTCTCAGTCAAGGTTTTAAAAAGCGGCCGCAACCGTTACGTAACGTAACGGTTTTGGCGGTTACCGCCACCCGTTACGGCCGCTTTTGCAGTGTGATTGAGATTCACAGGTGTGTCGGCCGTAGCGGTTGCCGTAGCGGTCGTAACGGTGCCGTAACAGTCGTACCGGCCTGTTACGCACCGTTACGTAACGGTTCCAAACTGTTTCTTTCGAAAAAACACACAAAAAAAAGCTGAAAATAGGTGAATAGGGATAGAGAGAAGAGGGAAGATGAAGAGAGAAAATGGAGGAGCAAGAGATAGAGAGAGAGAGAGAAGAGGGAAGATAAAGAGCATGTTATTGACTTGTTGAAGCTGTAAGACCTATACTATTCTATTCAGCTGCTATCACTCAACTGTTTTGTTTGTGTGTGTCTATATATATATTGTTTGATAATAATAATAATAATAATAATAATAATAATAATAATAATAAGTGTGGTTATTATCTATTTGGATTGGTTAAAATATATATATATATATATATTTAGGCTCTTATTTATTCTCTTACTTTTGTCATTGTTTATCTTATATATAATAGTTAGTGATTGATTTTTTGTATAATACAAAGTCATTAATTATCAAAATAAAATGTAAAAAACTCAATTTATAGTGATTTAAAAATATGAAATATATTGGATCATACTTAAAAATTTACAAAAATTGATCAATATTTATTTTTAACCCAATAAATATAATCATGGAAAAAAAATATGCATGTCGGTAAGTTTTTTTCAAATTGTGCAAAAAATAAAAAAATTCACGGTTCCGGTTACCGCAACCGTTACGCTACGGCCTTTACACCCCGCAACCGCAACCGCGCCACCGCCACCGTTACAGCGACCGCAACCGCTTTTCAGAACCTTGCTCTCAGTACTTACAATAAAGAAAAATTCAAACAAAGGAAAAGGAAAAGGAAAAAGAAAAAGAGATAGTCCAAGGTAAGATATAGAGAGGACCAAAAAAATAATTATGGGTGGCAACAGATTGAGTCCCTAACTAATCTGGCTTTTTCATGTGATGCCTCAATTAAGCCTTGAGCCTTCGGATGTTCAATTTATATCTGGTGTTGAAACATACCATTTCATGACTTGTAATATCTAGATTTCTAGATTTTCTTCGAACTGTATTTTTGTTCTCTCTCTCTCTCTCTCTCTCTCTCTCTCTCTCTGTGGCACTTGCATTTAGATTGCATCCTATCATTTTTTGCATTTACATTTTAGTTTACATCTCTGTCATCTCTCTCTGCTTATCTTCTTCTACTTCTTTTGGTGTTTTCTAAAGTTAAATCTTCATTTGGGTTTTAATATTTAATAAATTTATTTCTTATTCCTCTAGATGTTTCGATTCAAACTTGGTTGAGATACCTGTGGAGGTGGAGACTCCTGACTATCATTATTATCATGTATTCTCAGATACTTCTGCACATCCTTCTGCCTCTGGCCATAACTTGTGGGGCTGACCTAATCATTGAAGTCTGGAATGTAATATAGTTTGTGTGTCTTCCCTTTGTGCAGCTTGCCTTCTTCACAAGCAGAAAGGTGCAAGCATTGGAGGAACTTACATGGGTAAGTTAGTTTTCATTAGATTATGTTTTGAAGTTATTCATGCGACAGTGTGGTTGTGCACTTTCACTTAATATATATATATATATATACATACTAGAAGGTGTGCACCGCCATATCGGTGTGCTTAAAATGGGTAGTTAGAAATCTATGGTGTAGTTGAATTCAGCAATTGCAGTTGTAGTTATAGAAGGGCATTTTTTATTTAAAGTAAGCGAACATGTTTTCATGAGGTTAGGCTTTGTTTATCAAATTGTTTTGAAAAGCTGAATGTGCTGTGAATTTGGAAGTTGTCATCAATGCGGATGATCACAATTATGGAGGTATCCCCATCAGTATCTTGTTGAACCTATCAGGCACTCATGACTTCATCTCCAAAGACTCTAAAATATGCTTGAGGTATCTAAAAGAATCATTTCCTTGAAGACCCTGAATGTGTTCTGGTGGATGTGTATTACCATTTACTTGATTGACAAAGTTACGTAAAATCTTCTGAAGCTATGAAACATAGCCTAAGGTTTACTGTATATGTCATATAAGAAAGAGGTTGGCAGATGGCACAAACATTTTGACATGTTCTGGCATGCCGTTGATGAATTGTATATGACTCTTATCTAATTGTCAGGTTTAATTAATGGTTGCACAAAAAATGACCTGTTAATGTTGCCTGTATTGCACAGTACAAATGTAGTCCACTTGGAATGTCTGCTAATGAGTTTATACATCGTGCTACAAGAGCATACATGCAGTTTTCCCTCAAAAAAAAATTTCAAAACCAATTGTGTGCTTTTACTTTGCTTGGAACTCAATTGACAAATTATCAATGCTTATTATTTAAGCTTGGTTGATGCATAAAAAAGAGTTGTTGGGGATTTGTTTTTGTTTTCTTTGTGAAGCTGATAAATGTGATGTGTCTGCAGGATTATGGGATCGATTTCGATGATCATGATCATCCAGTCAAGGCATTTAAGTGCCGGTGTGGCAGCAAGTTCTGCCGAAACATCAAACGCTCGAGCAGTAAGTGCTTACCTGTTGTAACGCATGAAGTTGTGTTTTCTATTTTTGGCATGACTAATTTGGCCTTGTTTTCTCATTTGAATGATAAAATATCTTTATAGTAGCTTTGCTTGGGCAAGCTTGTGAGCATAATCTAGTCCACTTTGGTCCTTAAAAAAATGGTCCTCTGACTTTAGTCCTTGCACTGCTTTTATCTTCTATGGTCATGTTTGATTCACAAGACTAATAGTGAAGTATTAATAATCCTATTAAATTAGTGTAGTATTCACTATCCAATTGGATTAATATCCATTGAATTAATAATCTCACCCCTACCCCATTACTAATAATCCTACAAATTTGTTGGATTAATTATCCATTGGATTAATAATCCTAAACGAAAATGTTAAAATAAACATAGGATAATTGAGCCCACGGATTAATAATCTTAATCCCATGCTCTAATCCACCCAATCAAACATGCCCTATATGTATGTACGTAACGTAATGTTGCACTTCTTGACGTGCCTGTGTTCTACTTTATCTTTCCATACTGGCATGCCTACATAGTTGAATTCCATGGTCTAATCTGGGATTGAATAGGAGGTACTGTCTGTTTTGGATAGCACATTGAAGTATGAGATTTTGATTCTCCCCTTGTCCTGTTTCATGTATTTATTTCCCCATCCATTTTTGTCTCATCATTGTCCTCATTGGCCTTTGTTTTCATATGTTATACTTGTCTTAATTGGCTATCCCATCTGCACCTAGGCTTTCTTGTGTGATTCACTTAATTTAAAATATTGGAATTAAGGCAGGATATACATAACCTCATAAGAGCAATATATTATTTGAGTTTTGGTCAATTTTTGCTGCCACATCTGGTATAAGATTATCTTCATGTTTCAGCTGCCGTTAACTGTGATTGTTATCTGGCACAGGATCTAGATCTGCAGCGAGTAGAAGATGAACATGTGGGGTTCAGGAAGCCATTCACTATTTTTCTTCCCTTGTTGAAGTAAATTTCGTTAATGAGACTTTGCTCCCAGAGGTTATAACCTCTCAATTGACTGGATTTTGGGGTTATTATGAAAGCCTTGAGGAGTTGTTAGTTTTCGGGATGCTAGTTTTAATGGTGGCACAGCTTTAACTTGACAGATATTTATAAGCTTGTGTGTCGCATGCCTATTATGTTGTATTCATAGCATAAAGTAATTTGCTGGAGAATAAGGGTTGGCTGTGTCCGTTTCCCAGATTCAGGCTACCTACACTAAGCAAAGACTGGATAAAAAAGTCGTATTTAATTTGACATTTCTTATAAAAGCTTGTTTGCCCCATTGATATTGTGTATTATATGTAGCAGAGTAATTTGCTGAAAACAATGGTTGGCAATGTTCGTTCCGTGGCTTTAGGCTTACCTTATTAGGCTTTTATCATTTATCAGTGATGGTGCTTGAAAGGGTGGTTTGCCCAATGGCAAGGCTTATTGTTAGTGTCTCTAGTGGTTTGCGTGGGTTTGAACCACAGAACTGTCTCTAGAAATAGAGTTGTCTATCTTGGGACTTTCTTTAGCAGGTGTCTTGTGCATGGTGTCGGTCTTTTATTTATTTCAGGCGACATAAGAGTTGATTAAATTTTAAATTTTTCTAGGTTTGGTCTTCCTAACTTGTTGCTTTTTTAAGCACTCCCCCTTGATTGAGTCTGATTTTAGTGGTCGATGCGAACCTCCATATTCGAATACAAGACTAGGGGGAAGGGAAAAAAAGTAGTTTTCTTTTACTTTTTATTTTCTCTCTCCAATTTTAAATTCAAATATAGTATTCATTTCATTGATGTTTTTATCTAGGAATTTCATGTCTAAATTATCATATTTAAAATTGAGCTATTTCAAATCAGTGACCAAATTCTTTAATTTGAAATTCATAAATCTCACCTTAAACTTAAGGTAGAAATATATTTGACTCAAATATTGACTTTCAAAGGATATTGTCAAACACTAGGTGCAAAAAAAATCAGATTATTTCTCTTATTATTATTAATAATAATAATAAACTTCAAAATATACAATGACAACAGGTGAAAGTAAATATTTGAATAACACTACCTCCCTAAGCCAGTTCGTTGCAAGATTCAAGTCAATTTTCTTGTCTTCCAACAAAAAAAAAAAAAAAAGTCAATTTTCTTTTCTCCCACTTCAAAATGCTAAAATATTTAACTAGATATAAACAAATTGGCAAAACCAAAGCCATTTTTCAGCTTACGAGTGTCATTTTGCCCATTTTTTTGCGCTGTTACTCCTATAATGTAAGTTTTTTTTTTTATTATCACAATTACCATTCCTTTTCGGCCATTAGATCATCTCACCATAATCACAACCAGTTGATCACAATACAAAGACAGACTGATTTGCCTAGACACAAAAGTTGGCAGAGCTATTACTTGACCAGAAGAAGAAAAAGAAGTGAGGCTTTGAGAAGCATTTTGGCTAAGAGAGTAGCAAATACAATCAATATCTATTTCATTGTTGGCAGTTAACATATTTTATATAATTTCGGTTTCTACTTTTATCAACAGGCAGAAGCCCTCTATACAGGTTGTGGAGGAATGTTTACAGCATCATATAAACCAAACCAAGTCTTAAGTCTCAGTACAGGAAATTGTATTTTTGCCGACTAAAAATTTGATCGTCAAAAATCCATTTTTAGTTGGCAAAAGCTATTCGCGACCAATTTTTTTGGTCACCACTTTGGTCGCCAATTGAGGGTTGACAAAAGTAATTAGCGACCAAAACTTTTGTTAGTCGGGAAAAAGTTAGATTTGCCGACTAAATTTTTGATGGCTAAATATATTATTACTACGACTAATCCATTTAGTCGCGAAAAGTGACAAATTCCCGACCAAACATGTTAGTCGCCAATTGTCACATTCCATGACCAAAAAGTTTAGTAGCCAATTATCACATTCCACGACCAAAAATTTTGGTTGCCAATTGTGACATTCTACGACCTCGTAGTTTGGTCTCCAAAAGGAATGTTTGCGCCAACATACAACAAAATAAACCTGTAATTCATAATAATCTATCCAATCCATTCAATACAATCTGTAATTTACAATAATCAATCAAACCTACAATTCACCTGAATCATGAACATTCAACAAAATATATAAATCATTAAATTCTGAACCTGTAATTTCAAACTACATATTCCTTTAATTAAAAATTCGCTTGTAATCTATATAGTCATCCAATTCACATCCATCTAGCATTAAAATTTAAAACATATTCCTTAAGTGAAGAGTAGAACTCCCTTCGCAGAGGATCAATAGCTTTTATTGACTGAGCAGAAAGAAAATTCTTCTAGCAGTATTCATATCCAGCTACGTCTCTTTCAGCTTCTTTCCAGCCCTCATAAGCTCGGACAAGAGCAAGGTGATCACTGTAATCACATGAAAATTGTGCTTTTGTTGCTTCTGCTAGCTGCAAAGAGAAAGACACACAAATCAATTAGTGAAACAGATAAAATGAGATACTCAATTTTCCAGCAAAGCTATCTATTAGTGAAACCATAATGCCTTGTTATACGTCGCTCTAAATAATCTGGACAGGAGTTACAAGATAAAAACTAGATACACATTAGCCAATTCACAACGAAATGGCCAATGTTCAGAACCATTCCATCTCTTACCGACACAGTTGTTTTAACTGAGATTTCCCTGCAGGCAACTGAGCAAAAGCTTCCCCATGGGCATGCAATCACATTTATTTATTTATTATTTTTTTGAAGAAAAAAAAAGAGGGAAAACAAAAAAACAATTGATTAATAATATTGATAGGTTTCCATGTTGATGGGGCTTAACATTTGGTGCTATAACCTCAAAACAACCCTTCAAAGAAATGCCACTGCTCAACAAAAATACTACAATCGATTCTCAAATCTCAAAAAAGCATACACAAGTAGTGAGTTCCTTTTTATTTATTTATTTATTTTTTGCATGCAAATTCGATTCATACATCAAACTGTAATATGCTTAGGAATAGAAAAACAAAGAGAGGGAAACATTTGCTTAATTCCAGCTATATGCTTTATGTAATGTTCTAGTAAATTGTTAACCAGTACATATAGGGGAAAAAAAGTCGTACACTCATAACATCATTACAAGACAGATCATCTCGGAAAATTTACAGGAGGTTCCAAGCTACCTAACAGAATCCCTAGGTCAATGTCCTTATCTTCAAACTTCTTGATGAATGGGTGACTCTGCATGAATGAAAGAGGTTCAACAGTCAAGTACTGAAAGACGAAACATCTGTGTTTTTCCAGAAAATGAAAACAAAAACAAAACCAAACAAGCCCAACAAGTCTACATTCTCATTAATCAATATACTAACCAGAAGGTCCAGAGCTGACAATCTGTCTCGAGGGTCCTTTTGTACGCTCCACATGCATAAAAACAATACAATCAAGATACAGATTTGAACAAAATTGTCATGTTATAGGGGGAGATGATATGTCAAGCAACTCATGCTACTTCAAAATATCATTGCTACTTCAAAAACAACTCAAGCTACTTAAAAATGTCAATGCTACTTTAACAGCAAACTCTGCAGATGATTAAACTTGAGATTCTCTACATTCATAGCAGCAATGTGAATTGTGGGCAGCAAATCAAGGAGGGAGAAAAAATGTGTAGGAACATTGCTCTGAGCAGAAAAGTTGTTCATACAATGTTTACGATTGAAAGCAATAAAACCAATAGCTCCTTGTTAATATTCCACAAACAAAATCTAGATCATGCTTGGAGTTACTCTTGAGATGATCATGTTGTTGGCATAATACTTTTGCAATCAACAAACAATGAAATGATCCCTAGGAGTAGGTACAAGGTGCTTTCCCAGTTGCAGTAGGTCTAATTTTATTATTGAAATTCTAATGGAATGCATGGTTAATGGCCTAAATATTGCAATTTGCAACTGAACGTCATTAAGCAACACAAATTCCTCGTCTAGTAGCAAGAATTCATGTTCAAAAGATTAAATATATATATATATATATATATATTTGCATTCATCTTGGTCCAAATTCAAAATTAATTTTTACCAAAAAATAATGAGAAAACTAATCAATTGCTAATCTTGCCACAATGCCAAGGTTCACAAGCAATAGAAAAATGGAACTATAGCTGATTTTATGAAATTGATCACTCGACATCATACTTGAAAAGGTATAGTCAACTTAAGAGACAGAAGCCAAAATGTAGTTATCAGAGTTTATGGAAGTTTAAGTCAAAATGCCATCTCAGACTTGCAATTTTTTCTCCCCTGGCCCCCAGCCAAATGATGTAAGTAACCCTAACCCCTTAGATTTCATGTCCTAGTTTTGGACCTATGACCTGCCTCAACTATAGGTGTTATTAGGGCTCACCTGACCCCAATAGGTTTATGAGGCTTAACATTTTGGAATAGGGCTTGATTTCAATCACTGTGAAAGTAGAATCTAGTTCATTAATCTTTTATGCACCCATTTTGCTTGAGAAATTCTTTAAAAGATAAAAATCTATTTCTATTATATATAAATCCAACAACAGAGTTTATCAGACCGGTGGTTTTGGTGGAAGAATATTTTTTATTTGGCTTCTTTAAATAGCTGCCACTTGGCAAATCTGAGAAAGTTTCATATGAAAATATATGACAGAGGAGAGTGAGTGGAAAATAACTTTGTTTAAGAAGAATTACAATGAGATGAGGAACACATGCATAAAGCATGTTCCCCTCTAGTAACACATTAACAGACAACTAGTTGCCATAACTGATGAAAAAACAACAAAGACAATGCCCAACTGCAATTGCTAGAAGATGATAATTGATAACATAGTAGATTCACAATGCAGTAAAATAATACGAACGCCAGATGAGAACATTGTAGCCATTACCAGGCAGATACAAATGAACAGAACTCAGGGGAGAACTGGTCTGGTGGAGCAGAAGGTGGTGGGCTTCCCACAATGGCCTCCAAAAGTTCACAAAAGCTTGGCCAAGCTTGCTGTTCTTCGGATTGTATGTAAGGAAAACATCCTATAGCACACTCTAGAATTACCATGCCCAAACTCCAAATATCACTCTTATAGTCATAAGTTCTTCCACTAATTCTTTCGGGCTGACAAAAGATAGGAAAAACATTATCACTAGTGGCATTCTTCAAATTACACAATGCATACTAGTTTGCATAAAAAGTTTGGAGAAAACCAAAATATTCTTAAACTACAAAACAAGAGAAGAATGACAACCACCTAAATAACTAGACCAGCTGAATTCTGCTGCAAATACAAGGACAATAACTCCACTTACCGACATGTAGTCGTAAGTCCCAACAAATGTATCCCGTTGACCCATTGAATTGGTAAGGATTGCACTCACACCAAAACTTATTCGTATATCAATTTTTATATTCCTAAACTTATTCGTATATCAATTGTTGACCCTACATCAACCAAAGAGTGTCTGAAAAAGAACAGAGCTAACGTGTAGTGTGTTTATGTGTTCATGAGAGCACAGATGGCAGCCAGGATCCATTAAATAATAAACTAATCAAAATCATCTCACCTATAAGGAATGTGTGATTTCAGCACGGATGCAGTGTTATCATTGCCAATTAAACTAGCTGATGAAGACTTTTCATTGTGCTGCCAATGCATATATGTCAACACCCGCATAGATTACATGGAAGTAACAAAAATTATACACAGAAATCTTGCCTAATCATTCCATCAAGTTATGAAAACTATAGTTAAATCCCTATTTATCTTTCATTTACTAAATTAACAAAACAGATGCACACTTTCTTGCATAGTACAAAATGATTCCAGGAGATGAATCAAGCAGATCAGGCATCAAAAGTTAACAATCTCAAGAGGCTTACACCACAGTTCAGTCTCAAGTACATCTTTTGTGCGTCAGAGGAAGAATGTGCAAAGAAATGAAAATAACTTGAACAATGATGTTCATAGGGATGAGAGGTAACTATCTTGAGGATGATAACAGTAGCATAAAAAAACAATTTGATGAATGCGTTTGCAAGAGTTATGAGGCAACAATAAACAAAGATCAAATAAGAACAGTTCTCAAGGTTGAGTGACACAACACAGAATACTCACTAATGACGAGTAGCTTGATTCGATGTGAAGACACTACTAGTTGAATGTGAACACAAGCACTGTGAGTGAGAAGCCACAAGATGACTTTTTAATTTAGTTATTTATAAAATATCCAAAATGTTGAAAGGTTAACAAATATGATTCTTTTCTAGAAATCAACAATGGAATTGTCGGTCTCCAATGTGATCTTCTTAGTATAGTATGCAGTTAGCTAAAAAAATTAGGAATCACAACATAAGCTAAACAGAGAGCTTCCTAAGCAGAAGAAAATGAAGACTAATTACAAAAGTTCAGTTTCCAGGCTCTGAAGAATTCAAAGAGCAGAAACAAAAAACAAAAGCCACATACACCCATAATTCATTGGATGAACTTCCTTGTAAGCCAATCTATTAAATAATAAATCAAAATTTAAATGATGAAAATTTTATGGTCCAAAAGCATATGAACAAAAAGCATGAAACACAGAGTTCGAGGATTATTTGCCTTGCATTATAAATTGCAATTTTGGTAGTCTAGATTCAGGCAATTAGACTGCAAATTAAATAAATAGAAGGCTTATCAGACAATTCATATGCACGTTATAAATCTTGACATCATAAATCATAGTTTCACTCCAAAAGCCCCTGTTAGAATTATTTATTTTGATGATTTATTTAATTATGTTTTAATTTATTTGGAAGAAAAAAATAGAATCCAAAATTTATTTTGATGATTTATTTAATTATATTTTAATTTATTTGAAAAAGAAAAATAGAATCCAAAATTTATTTTGATGATTTATTTAATTATGTTTTAAATCCAAAATTTATTTTGATGACTTATTTAATTATGTTTTAATTTATTTGAAAGAGAAAAATATAATCAAAATTTATTTTGTCCCATTATTTCTCACCTAAACCTTTATCCTAAATGTTGTTAGAATGTATTTAATATTTGACTAAATTAGGAGTTCAAACAGCCCAAAAACAGAGGTTCAAACAGCCCAGCACAGCAATAGGTCAAAAGGTTCAAGTGGAAGATATTCAAATTTGTAATGATGGAGTGGAAGATATTCAAATTAGTAATGATCGAGTACAACGGCTATAAACGGCTATAAATTCAAATGAATACAACGGTTATAAACGGCTATAAGTTTCATTATATATACCAAAGTCTCTAATGTAAACAAGTGACAAAAAATCAGAAAATATTCTTTAGTCTATAATCACTCACATCTATTCTCTGAAAAATTCTCTAAGAAGTGTTCTTCAATTTTTGTTTACATCATTTCTCAGAAATTATACACCGAACCTTATAGCATTAAGCTCATCTTTCCTGTGTAAGGTTTACAGAAAAATAAGAGCTTCATTTTTATATCTATTTTTGAGAGATAATTATTGTAGTTTTCTGTGAAAGTAAAAACACCTTCTTTTCAACCTTGTAAGAGTGTAGTACACTCAGTGTTCTTAACTTAGAAAGTTTGTGTAAAATCTGTGGAGGATTGCTCAATCTGTGAAAAGGTTGCTAGCACCCTGTGAAGCTAGAAGATAGTGGAAATTCTCAAGTGAAGCTTGAGGAGTGAATGTAGGCTTGGTTGAAACCGAACTATTATAAATCTGTTTGTCTCATCTTCCTTAATCTCTTTACTTTCCTACTACTGCTATATCTATCTAATGTTCATGTGTTAATCATTTGATTTACCCTGTATGTTAGTTATACTTCATTGTTATTTTGCTTGATCATTTACTGCTAAGTTCATCATTGTGCTTGTTAATAATTTGTTGTACTAGTAGTTAATTTTATTGGGGTATTATTAATATTAATTTGTAGAAACCTAATTCACCCCCCTCTTGGGTTTCTTTTTGGGTAACAATTGGTATCAGAGCCTGAGGCTCTTGTTTAGATTTAACAATCTTGAGTTTTTAATCCATAGCAACCATGTATTCTACTTACTCTACTGTAGGACAAGCTAGCAATAGGCCACCTCTCTTTGATGGTAGTAATTATATTCATTGGAAAGAAAAAATGACTTTGTATCTTCAAGCTACCAATTATGCTTTGTGGCTCATTATCGCTAAAGGTCTTAAAATCCCTATCAAGGTAGTAAACCATATCAGTGTGCCTAAACTTGTGGATGAATTTGATGAGCGTGATTATAAACTCCTTCAAGCTAATGCTAAAGCCAAGCTTATTCTTGTGTGTGGACTAGATACAAATGAGTACAATAGAATTCCCAAGTGTATTACTGCTAAGGAAATTTGGGATAAACTTGAAATCACCTATGAAGGAACTAGCCAAATAAAAGAGTCTCGAATTGAC